TAATCAAAAAACTCGATATCATATCATCTGGTATTCGGACATTGTATGGACATTGCACAGTCCATACAATTCTTAGAATGATTTGGACAGTAATGGTTTAATTGTTGTATTACTTCGACAGAATCCTTTTAAAACTGATAAAAGGCGCATCTAGTTCCGATTATTTCACCGTTTCGTACCCTAGCGTTGATTTTGCGCCAATGAAGGGTTTTTGTCCACTGTACTGGTTGGTCATCTCCATTCCCCTCTCTCCTCACGATCAGTATCTTCTGCAGTCACCTCGACTTCAGCAATGTCTTCTTGGTCGTGTCCTGCCAGTCCTTCATAGCAGGACGCAGAGTTAGGGGATCGAATGTTGGTTACGGGTAACGCCCAAACCCTTCATATAGTCATTAATCTAGTAACCTGGCACGTGGATGATTTCCTCCAGGGGTGACAGCTTTTTATATCAAGTCAGCCCAATGCTCATGGATCCTTCAGCAAGAAGACGGGTTCAAAAAGAATCTGATCAATTTTCTCACAGAAGTCCGCGGTTGACGCCCAGTTCAATGCCAACGAATTGGAAGCTCCGACGAATATGGGAATCCTGTTATCTTTGCATTGACGAACGGGGTCGAGGACAGCTTCCATCAAACAGGAACCATATTATAGGGTTTTGACCCCCATTACAACACTTATATAGTGTGAAATGAAGAGGCGCCTTTATACTCCAGGGAGTGTGAAGCCTGGAAGCTCCTCCATTGATAGTTCTTCCCACATCAAATTCTAACGATTTGTAGCGGTCATGGGTGGTCCCGGCCAAGATTATGACCAGTAAGGCACTTGCTTTGGCCCTGGCGCAATATGGAGCCGATCTGGAGGTGGCAGCATAAAATGCAAAAAAATGCAGGGAAGCGAATCATCAACCCAGCCTAGCCGTCCCAACTCGAAGTCCGCATCGCTATCCACTACGCCATCCGTCGCTGCTAGCAGCTCAACTGTGTAAAGTGCATATGAAACATCCCGCACTCTTCAACATGTTTCAACGTGGGGCTCCCTTTTTTGGCTACAGTTCATATTATTTTTAATGCGCAGTTTGCTGACGCCTTCTGCTGTGCGTACAGTCGGCGCCATGAATGAAACAAACGACGTTCAGAGGGTTAAAACGACGATTTCTGACAGAATCATTTTCATTCCTTTTTCGGCATTCAAAAGGCCATTTAGCGGAAATGGACCGTAGTTCTGTACTCAGTGCTCATCCCCTTATACCATGCAAAAAACCATTTTCAAAGAGCGTCCCATGCCCTAAAAGACCTTCCTTGTTAGACAGAAATGGAGGAGGGACAACTTCATGATAAATGCTTGGAGTTCAAAAACAGTGTTTGGGCTTGTATTCGTGCTAGTAGAGGATATTTTGAAACGTGGTTGGAGCTTGTTATTGCCATAATGTAAGCAAACGTGCCTATAGATTCCACCGTCATTATCAGCTTACAAGCTCAAAACACCTAGCAATAAGTAGACAGTCATAATTTTCGGATACCCTATGAACCTCATCTTCAGTGGTCACTGTGGTCTCGTATACTTCCCTTTTCGGCTCATACAGCTGTCAGGAAGTAAATGAAGTTGCTGACGACTGATCTTGACCATGCAAAACCAGAAGTATACATGAGAAGCAACCTTGTCTTCCAGATCACTGACGGCATCTGCTCTTCGGTATCAGTGTTGGCGAATAGTAGGACTGGATAGTGAGACACCTGAAACCAACAGATCATCATCATCGGCGTTATGTCATTCAATGAGAGTGCGCTTTTGTACAAAGGTGCTGAGTTGGGGAGTGAACTACTAGACAACTTAATCTATTCGAGGCTTATATTTCATCGAGTGAATGGGGATCGGAGGAAGTGAGTGCAGAGACAGAGGCATGCTTTGAACCGTGAGGAGGGTGAAAGTCTAAACTCGCCCCTTAAAAGGCAAAACCAGCAAACTTGTCTCTTAAAAGGCAAAACCAGCGTGGAAACCTGACGACATTGAAAGCTGAGAAGCAGTCTATTACGTTCAAGGAAAAAGGGATTAAATAATTGTCGCATAAATGGATGCACATGATTGATCCCGATGGTGAATAAACTGTTAATTAATTGTTTATTCAGAGAAATTAAGTTTGAGTAGAATGAACCGCGGGATTGCAGTCAGGAACTGAGTGAGAACTCGACATCGTTCTCAGAGCAGCCCCATCGTATCTTGCCGTACCTCTCCCGCACCGTAGTACACAGCACTTCATAAAAAGTACTAATAACAAAAACTTCGCTTTGAGTGCTTAACCAAGGGGGCTTCGGATTATTCCCGAACAATCTACTGCAACCAAAGAGGAACGATAATTGCTTCTATGATGTGACATGGCAGTATATCAAATTATTCCCCAAGACGGGTGGAATTTGGGTAGGTTTGGCGAGAGATGGTAATTATAATCCTACCTGTAGTGATGAGAATTTCCTGGCAAGCGAGTTTGTAGCATTACGTCGTCTAGGAGGGTCTGCACTTTGCGAACCACCTTCCTCAGTTATAAGAGTCATAACTCTGAAATGTAGCATCAAGTTGTGTGGGCGTGCTGTTAATTCAGACTGAAAACGACGATATTTACATGGTCTCCGTCAAGGGCTCAGACAGACGGACCAAAATAGAAAAAAGTTTTGAAACAATAAAGAGATAACGTCAATAATTTTCGGAATGAACGTAGTGAGGTGGAGACAAGCCCGTCCATCACTCATAGACCTCTGTCGAACATCTGTTGGATTGCGCCTCAGGGCTCAGTCACACGTAAGCCTCCCAATTATCCGATTTTCAGCTTATCCCCAGGATTACACGTCACCCTGCCTCCAAGAAGGCACAGCCATCGCGTTCACGTTCGAAGCTGTAGCAGACATCACAGGAAACCTATGTAGGTGTGAAAAAAGTGATGCCAAGAAAAGGGATTTTGGCCACACAGTGATGTTTATGCCTCGAAGAAAAGGAGTCAACAAGAAGTCAACGAAAAACAATCTAAAATTATCCCAATTTAAATAATCCTTGAACACTTTGACACCTAAATATTTGAAATCGAGAGATTATGCTCCAAAAGCTTCCTTTAAATATTGTCAAAGCACTGTCGAAGTGATTGCTATTGAAAAACGTTTCATATTGGTTCACTGTCCGCACGTCCCTACCTTACTCCGCCCTTCTCGTAAAGTGTTACCACAGTATGCCAACTTCTGGAAAATCTCGGCTTTTTGAAGGATCATCTGATGAGAGAAATCACCTCGGCCGACATTTAGGAATTTCAAATTTTTCATTAGTGAAAAGCTGGATCGAGACTAAAGGAGCACCTTCTCAAACATCGGTTTCTGATTCACTAAATAAAACCCTAGGACGTCCACCAATAAGCCGACAGAAACAAAAAATATACTGATGCTGAGAAAAGTTTTTGCATGGGAACTTGATTATTCGTTTACCTATAGGATACTGATAGCGATCATGAAGATAAGGTCAGGAAGCTCATCGATGATAGGGTTGACCTTCGTAACCAGCAAATTATTCAGACCCGGTTTTCCTCTTGTACGCAGAATTCTTTGTATAAACGTCTTCTGGAGTCTGTCATCACAGAAAAAACAGTTGTGGTCCAGATATATGGTTAGATGGGTCTCCTTGGTGTGTATGATCGTCAACTAGAATTTTTAGTTATTCGTAAATGTTCGATAGGTACTAAGCCCTTCTTGGTTGTTTGTGATGACTGTGTCGCTCTCTCTGTACAAGTTAAGGCGCGTGAAGTGACACGCATAAATAAATAAATAAATAAATAAATAAAATTGAAATTACGGATAGACAGAAGAGTGAAACCGAGACGCAAAAAACAAGGTAAACCATGGAAGCTGTTCCAAAAAGGGCAGATTCCTATAGGATGAGTCTTGACCATTTTCATTCTCAGTATCCGTGGATCCGTTGAAACCTCCGAATGCATGCGCACCAAATATGAGAGTGTTTAAATTTAGAAACAACAATGCGTATGAGTGTGTGATCTGACACCCATCATTTCAGCAAGCCGAACAGCTGCCTCGAAAATAATAGATTATACCAGCGCCACACCAATCGATGAAAATCAAATGGGTAGGTAAGGGTTGAGCTGAACGTTAGAGTCCTTTGCAGAAATTTGCAGTGCATTTTCGACATGTGGACGAACATGAAGCAGCAGATGAGGTTGAAGATTTGCAGAATAAGTCCGAGCAGCGGTGAAAAATGAGACGTCAGTAAACGATGCTCCCATAACAAGCAAGAGACGATCCGAAGTAATGGGAGAAGCTCAGGCAATGAAAAACCAGAAACAACTTTTCCTTCTCACATTCACCGAATCCACATTAGGCTCTCCAAATGCATAATGTATGCAATGAAAGAACACTATGAAGTGAACGATTGAATTGGGGTTTGATATTATACTCAGTCGGTAGGGACGATAAGAAGATATTTAACTGGGAGGACACACAGCAACCAATCCCTTCAGGAACAGCAAACGCAAGGCTCAAGTTCAAAACAATAAAACGTTTGTACCGTGCATGCAACTGATGTAGGCAAGCCAGTGCTCGACAGTACTTCTGAGTAGTGAACTCACAACGAAACGCACTTTCAATATTTTCAGAGCTCGGCTGGCTTCAATAAGGCTTCGAATTTCGCCCTAATGTCGGCCTTCCTGATAGGCTCCAATTGTCCTACAGAACGCTCATCATCAGCAGCTGGCATCTATTATTAGTGACCAGCGAGAAGCGATGGAAAAAAAGATGTTTTGGCAGACAACTGGTAACTTAGTTTATGTGTGCGACAAGCGAGAAAGAGATTGAAAAATTTTGGGAATTTTTCCGCTTTCCATAGCCTACAAAGAAGGAAAAGTTTTGGAAATCTACTGAATTGCGAAGGATTCTTTAGAAGATTAATGGTAATATTTTCAGCAGCAAAGCACCACAGTTGTACAGCATTATAGCCGAACACTATGTAGCATAAGTAAGGAGAGCAGGTAAATGTGGAAAGCCAAGAGGGAGAGCTCGGGCTGCGTCCAGATTCCAATTAGAAAACAAAGGCAAAGATCAAAAAACACTGAGTCCGCTCGATGAACAGCTGTCTCCACTTGAAACAGTACTAGAGGCTGATTGAAGGTTCCGAGTGCTGCGACGTCAAATCATCGGTTAGCAAAGGCAGGAGCAGGAACTATGATGAGATTGCGAAAACCCACTCGGCGTGAAGCTTCAATAATGATTAAAGTCACTCGAACTAGGGAAGCTGTCGAGAGATCAAAACTAGGAAAGCTGCCAAAACCTCAATAGTCGAAAACGACTGAAAGAAAACGAACAGCAGGATGTGAATCGGAAGCAATCACCAGAAGCAAAGAAAGGCAGGTGCAGTACCAGTACATACATAACGGTGTACTACCATCTGCGGAATGAAATCGTTCGAAGAAACCTGAGTGGATGGTGCCCTCACCATCTGTGATTTCCTGTCTTATAACGTTGAGCACGTTCTACTGGACGAATACTATATCCCCAGGTCATTCGGAATTGAGGATTCAATTTTCTACACTGATTCGCTAATGAATGTTGGGTATATAATGTATCACTTTAGCTAAGCATGCTGACGTGAGCCTCGTAACTCCAGATTTCTCGGAGGTGTCCTTGGCACGCACTTCTTTCACCTTACGCTCTCAAGATGACGTTCAATTGATGAATGGAGAGAAACAACAAAAGACAAAACCTAGAAAACTACTCTCCGCCCATTCCGTTCTCGGACTCGAGAACTTTCTAAATAGGATTGCAATTTTTTCTACTCGACCTGCTTAATTACACCCCTGCCTGCCATGAACAACTTGAACAATTCAGCTTTCTTACGTTTTGCGATCTCTATCCACCTTTTCATCCGGATTTTACTACGTCTCGGAACAGGATTGAAAATTTCTGGTTCTAGTGGGAACAGAGCTATGGATTATTGAAATCTATACCTTTAGGTCATTCCGATACTGGATTTGGGGAAAAAACACATAAATATATACATACACATAGCTACTCATACACACTCACATACACGCACACACATAGCTGTTGAAAACTACTCTGCATGCTACGGAAGAGAACATCTCAGTTTTAGCACTATTCGATGAAGCACTGAGCTTAGAAAAGGAGACATCGAAAGAAAGAGGAAATTCGGCTACAAAAAGGCAGCGCAAAGCTGATTTGAAGAAAACATCTTCTGCGATATCGATCTCGAAAATGAGAAGGTCGCCTACGTGATTCTATCGTCAGTTATTCTAGGCTTAAGGAGCTATGTGTGAGTAAATCGGCTATTTCTAAGTAATCAAGAATTGTGAAGCCGAAAAACCTCAAAGTAGGTCCTCCGCCAAAAGAAAGGACAAGCGCTGTCAGGATCGTCGACAGGAGCCTTGCCACTTCTTCTAGAAAAGCGTTCTGTATTTCTTTCTATCTGCCACATAAAACGGTAGCAAGTGAAGAAGTTTTTGAAAAAGTCGAGCCAAGTTCGGGGCGGGTGGACATAAAACAAGACGGAAAGAGCACAATGTGAGCTTAGTGAAGCTCCGCCTATGCACCAAAATGGGCGGTGCCAAGCAAAGCACAAAAAAAAAACCATTTGTAGAAGTGAAAAAATAAAGTGTGTCAAGCGTCGCCTAAACTATTTCAAATGGAGCTAAGCCAACGGTAGGTGAGGCGGGCTCTCTTTTGGATGGTGTCTAGCATAAAAACCCACAAACACCCGAAATGGTCATATCCAAGATCGGCAATTCTTGAATATGTTCAGGACCGTTCTGTAGATCTAAAAAAGTGAATGCAACTAGCAAGTGAAGTGAGATCTAGCCTTTGATGGGCAGAACCATATATTTATTTACACACACTATTGCTACTTTACAAGTNGAGATTGAGAATAAGATGATGAACATCGAGTCGAGTCAAAACCCAGCATCAACCTGGAGCTTACGAATGGGTGTCTGTGTATCGGCTGCAGCCCAGATAAGTCTATTCCTCCCATCAAGAGCAAGCGCAAGCTTCTTGGCGCAACTAAAGTTCTTCAGAGGGCATTTTACTACCATAGGCAAGCTGAACATTGGGGATAAACACGGAAAAACGGCCAAAATTCTCTGCGGCGGTATTCACAAGAGGAACAAATAGGGTTAGAAATTGGGCGAGTTCACCATAGCAACCGAAACCATTAAAGATAATTCGCAGTTTCGCACATCGCTTTTTGAAGTGCCCCTGAATGATTGCCGACTTACCAACAAGAGAAATAGCATGAACAAGTCAATAGAAGACTGTCTGTGGGATCGTTGAGGCAGAGCTTTACTCATATATTTAACTTTTTCTTTTTCTTATTCTCGTTTGTTGGTTACCTCGCTGTTGTTATTCGTAATTGTAGGAAAAAACCTCTTGCCAGGCCACCACACACCGCCTGGTTTTGTCGTGGGTAAGCGCGTTCACTAACGCACACATGAAAAAATAAATAAACCTGCATCCATACATAGGCGCCAGGATCGAGCCCACAAGGGATAAGGCCAACGCTATGCGGCCAAATTGAATTTCATGACTATTAGAGAATATGAACCGGAACTCTCGCGTGGGGGAAGGTGCAAACCGATGAATAAGTTAGACAACGAAAACGAAGACTTATTGATCTCTTTGCTTAGGCTGTGATTTGACAATGAGTGAATGAAGACTCAGATGACAGAATGCTAAGGAACATGAGCGGAAATTAATCACGTCTCGGGAAGGCGAGGAGAAGCCTAAAAGTGAAAACAGCAAAACGCTTCCATGTCAGGAAGTCAAAGTCACAGAGCAGGGCGTTGGAAGCAGAACAGTGGCAATTTCGAAATGAAAAGATCAGTCACTGGTGAAATTGGGGAATCATTAATTTTGGAAATTAACCACCGAAAGCTATGGTGACTCAAATGTAACCATAGGTCTCCAAACGCTAAACCATATTACTTAATGGAGAGCAAGGAAGATGTATTTTACAACGACTTACAAAGAAAAAGAAAGCTGATTGAAGAGCGATTATTAAAAGAAGCCCCTTTAGAAGACAAGAAGTTCATTCGGAGGTTGCACAACTCACATGACTTCATTAAAGAAAAGTGGCTTGATGTAAACGCCACAAATTTCGTTTCAAGAAAAGCTTCTGCAGGTAAAAACCATGTACCATGTTAGCTATAATAGAAAATTACGTTATTTGAGAGACCAAGAATTCCATCAATGAAGGCATGTGGGCACACTAACAAAAGGTCAATGAGATCGGGAATCGATGGGCCATTAGATGTTCCTGGTCAGCTCGAACATTCTATTTGGCAGACTTTGAGCTAAATATGAACTATTCTGTAATGTTTCATGTTCCCGTTGTCCTTTTTCGTTTTTTTCGGAAATGGTAAGCCTTGCAGCAACGAAAACACAATGTCGAATCCCTATGAGCACAATCCCCATCATTGCACGCTGAGAATGCGCAAAAAACGGCCTATCATTGTGAAATGCACAAGTCCCTAATTGACTGAAAGACACTCTTGTTTGAAGGCTCAAGTTCCCAATGAGGAAAAAAAGGAAGAAACCCTGCAAGAAACCCTGCGGTCTACTACACCGTCAGCCCTGATCGCCCGAAGGAAGTCGTGCATGCCCTGGGAGGTCATATTGGATACAAACCGAATTCTCTTGTTAACTAGACCACTGGAGATAATATAGAAGTTTTGCTCTTTCCTGATGAGTCAAGCAGGGATTGTCTACCTTCTGTGGAGTGACAATGTATATGGAGCACCTTGTAAGTATGATTCGTCCTTGTTGTCCATGAAGGTCTACTGTTTGCGTATTGATGGAGTGGAGTTGAAGTGACCTAACACTCTTTAAAAAAGAGCATTTGAATAGGAAGAGCTAAATTTGTAGCTTCGAGATAACACTCAAACATTCCAATCAACGGAATCGAGAATAAAGACGAACAGAGAAAATGACGAAAAATGGATGGCCTGAGAGTCGACGCGAAGTTGAATAACATCCGGGAATGCTCATTTAGAACAAGAGAGATTGAACTGGTTGGAGAACTCATTTGAATCCAATTAATTATATATGGACACGAGAGTTGAGCCGTCAAAACTCAAGAAGAAAACAAGTCTATCACTGAGTTAGAAATTAGAAAAATAAGAAAATCAGTAGTCTAGAAGAAAAGTATGTATTCAGTCAAGTAACTGAGTCAACCAATGACATAGGACACACCGTAGCCTGGAATGTAAGCCGTCTCTACCCGCGAGCATATTTGGATAGGAAAGCATGAAGAGAAACACTAGAGGTTCCATTAGCACCAGGAGGAGAAATTATGACTGCTTGTTGACGCTCCTCAGCTGCTAAAATAGAAGACAGAGTCAGTAGGAACAGTGAAAGAGAAATAGCGGTGATTTAAGATGAGCAGAAGATAGGAATATCTCGCATGCAAGTATTGATCCGAAGGAAATAGCATTCGCAAGCGTTTTCCAATCCCTAATGTGAAGAAATGAAATGAGAACGATCAACGAGTTGAGTAATTGTTCTAGACAGTTTGTAGGGACCACTGGAAACAATTCACGAAAGTTGTTGAGTTCGAAGAGGCGGAGAGAGAAGGAGATACGTCCTTCGACCACAATGATCACTTGAATGTAGTTCGAGGAATAAAATCGAAAAGATAAATCGGTAAGCTCGATGTCGCATGTGGATTGATTGGTGTCGCGTGTGGGGTTGTTCCCATTCGGTTGCAGCACGGCAGTGGAGTGGTGAAATCGAGAGAAATGGAGACTGTGGTAGTTTTTCTGAAACATGGAGATTGCCAAAATTCGAACTGAAGGAACAAGACTGCATCGGTATGCTCGCATCTATGGTGCCCCAACAGCTTCTGTGCCCCAATTCACCCCTACAGAGCTTTTTACCGCTCTAATAATTCTCCATTCTCAAACTCGTTATTTTGTTCATGCCTGCGCAAAGAGATATCAAACTTTGAATTCAAGATATTGTTGAAAACATTGTAGAAAAAAACAAGACATTGTAGAAGTGGAACTATCCCCTGAACCCCAGCAAAAAGTGCAGCCCGAATACCAGCTCTTTATCGATACCAGCCAGCATCTTCGAAAAGCTTTGAAAAATGAACTTGAAATGATTTATTCCCTCGCCAGCCAGTCATATGCCAACTGAGAACTAATTACTTGCTGAATTGACTTTGGCTCTCACATGTTGCATCGACGATGGTTCAATACATGAAAATGAAAGGGGGAAAAACGTAGAAAACGGGCTGTGAAGGAGCAAGAGTCATTTGAAGGAGAAATGAGAAACCGATTATCCGACATCCGTGTTCGAGCTACATGACATCATTAGAAGGAACGTCTCGAACAACTCAACTCGAAGAAAGAAGAAGAAAAGGAACACAAAGGGAATTTCAGAAAAGGTCCCGTCAGAGGGGTTGTCTCGTCAATCGAAAATAATCTGGTTTTTTGGGCATTGTGAACAGCCCAACTGCTGAATACTATCTTTTGTTTGATCACACCTTAAACGATAGCCCGACGAAATGTACAATTTTACGAGTGTTTTTCGGAGGAAGGGAAATTTCGAGAAGTTCATACGAGCTCAAATTGTCGACAAGGAATTATGAGGGTGTTCAGTGCTTGTTGCATCCCTGGAATACAGAAATTCGTGTAACTATGAAAGAAAAAAAACGAGAAGAATGTTAGGAACTGTGCAAGACAAAAGCCTGCTGGAGTGTCACTCATGGTATTGGAACTATGATGCTGTTTCTCCCGACAAAAGAATGGCATAGCGCAAGGAAGAACCGAATCATGAAAAAGTGGACGATGAATAGTTGATTGTTAATTGCCCGATTGAAACCCTCAATGGCTGCTAATCACCTCTACACATACAGTACAGACGATATTCGTACATCCCATGAATTTTCGTTGCACTTTTGATACCCTGAGACCTCCTATCTGAGAAATAACCTGTCATATTTATTATTAACCTGCAGAATGATCGTAGGTCATCAGTGTAAGTTTAAGATGCACATCTAAAATGGCGGCAGGTCATTCTGGTGGAATCCAGATTGCACTAGCAAACATTTAAAGTTCAGCCTTGGATTTTAAGAGGAAAAATACCTTTCATTGTTCTTCCTTCCAGTTCGAATACATTTAGAGAACTTTCCGTGCTGCGTTCTCCTGATGACGACTGCTCAAAAAACGTCCACGCCCGTGATTATGTCATCACATCGCCATAAACATCATTTGTTTCTGCACCAGCTTCATCGATTTCTCGATTTTTTTCTGCTCTGACAGTTGCCCACAGAATAAGCCTCCATTCATTCGCTTGAATGCAGGGTCTCGTTCAAGAAGAATGCCCATGGCAGCGTAAGGCTGTGAGTTTTTCAGAGCATACAAGGAAGCAGAAAGCAGTTCAGAGTAATCGAAGCTTGGAATATCGCGCAACAACGCATGCACCACCGAATAGAGGAATTCGAGTCGTGACCTTTGGGCTTTGGCCCGCCTACCATGAACATTCGACCTCCCTTGTTGCTAGTACCTATCTGCTTAATTCCCGGCTTTTTTAATCCATTTTTGAATAAAGTTGTAGATGGAATTAGTTTAGCTACGCTCAACCCGGTGGTCCTAACATGAACAATTGGAAGAACAACGAAGAATTTCAAAAACGTGTTAGAAATGAACTGAGAACGAAGGAATTTGGATGCATCTGCTTCATTTCTGAAACTTTCTCGAAGAGTTGAGAACTTATATACATAGCAAGCACGTTCAGATGAGACCGTGGCGCTTGAGCACTGCAAACTGCAGCTTTTCTCAGTTTGGGCATGCATGGCATAGCTTAGGCCTTATCCATTTCTACGTTTTCCCGGTCTCTAGTCTGTATTGAAATCCAGTAAAGAATTTTTTTATAAGTCAGTCCATATGAAACGCTCCATGCGGTGCACTGCGACTGAGCTGCAGAAGATACCTTGATGGCATCTTTGGTATCTTATGTCGTCGATCACCTGTTTCCTGATAAATAACGTCATGCTGGGGATAGTATTTGCTGTCGTATCTGTTTTAGAAGGCGAGTCCGTTTTTGTGCATTGTTCATACTCTTGAGTATCTTTGAAGCATGAATTGCAGTGGCAATCGCAGTGGTGGTGATGTCTGCCTTGGTCAGTGTGTGGTCCTTGAGAAGCTCGTATCAATCATCCTC